ACACACAATGGGCTTGGATCTATCCCTATGGTTATATTTGTTACAGTCTGCGTATGTGTGTGTACGTGTGTAAATGTGTGTGTACGTATGTGTGTATGTACGCGTGTATATGTGTGTACGTGAGTAGTGTGTGTACGTATGTGTGTATGTACGTGTGTATATGTGTGTACGTGAGTATGTGTGAGTGTGTGTATGTACGTGTGTGTGTGTGTACGTGTGTATGCGTGTATGTTTACGTGTGTGTGTGTGTGTACGTTTGTATGCGTGTGCATGTGAATGTGTGTATGTGTGTATGTGTGTGTACATGTGTGTATGTACGTGTGTATGCGCGTCTTGTGTGTGAGTGTGTGTGTGTACGTGTGTGTATGCGTGTTGTGTTTTGTGTTGTGTATGCGTGTGTGTGTTTTTGTGGTGTGTGTGTGTGTGTGTGTGAGGGGAACAAGAGGGCGAGATATCACTATTGATCAGGTACACACGCATACCGTGAGTCAGTACCTATCATTCTGCTGCGATGAATGATAACCTACTGGTGGTGTTTTGCTGTGTCTAATTGGCGTTCAAGTGCTGTTGCTGTTAAGACTCTGCTACTGCTGTGTGAGGAGGAGGAAGGGCGCGCGTGGAAGTGTGAGGGAAGGAAGAGGAAGGTAAAGGAGGGCCGTGTGTGTGATGGAGGGTGGAGGTGTTCAGTGACCGCCGGGTACTTAGTGTCTAGTGATGAATTGAGACCTCTCTCTCTCTCTCTCTCCAATTAACGTCAACCAGACATTAAACTTAAAAGATTCGGTATATCTCACGTAATTATTAATATTTGTTGATGGCTAGTGTATTTACTAACTGAGAAAAATTCGCTTAAAAACCTTAGTTGTAGTGATACAGTATAACATCAACAACAGACCTTAGTTGTTGTAGTGTAGTAATACATTATAACATCAACAACAGACCTTAGTTGTTGTAGTGTAGTAATACATTATAACATCAACAACAGACCTAGTTGTTGCAGTGTAGTAATACATTATAACATCAACAACAGACCTTGGTTGTTGTAGTGTAGTAATACATTATAACATCAACAACAGACCTAGTTGTTGAAGTGTAGTAATACATTATAACATCAACAACAGACCTTAGTTGTTGTAGTGTAGTAATACATTATAACATCAACAACAGACCTTAGTTGTTGTAGTGTAGTAATACATTATAACATCAACAACAGACCTTAGTTGTTGTAGTGTAGTAATACATTATAACATCACCAACAGGCCTTAGTTGTTGTAGTAAATACATTATAACATCAACAACAGACCTTAGTTGTTGTAGTAGTAATACATTATAACATCAACAACAATTAGTTGTTGTAGTGTAGTAATACATTATAACATCAAACAGACCTTAGTTGTTGTAGTGTAGTAATACATTATAACATCAACAACAGACCTTAGTTGTTGTAGTGTAGTAATACATTATAACATCAACAACAGACCTTAGTTGTTGTAGTGTAGTAATACATTATAACATCAACAACAGACCTTAGTTGTTGAAGTGTAGTAATACATTATAACATCAACAACAGACCTTAGTTGTTGTAGTGTAGTAATACATTATAACATCAACAACAGACCTTAGTTGTTGTAGTGTAGTAATACATTATAACATCAACAACAGACCTTAGTTGTTGAAGTGTAGTGACATTATAACATCAACAACAGACCTTAGTTGTTGAAGTGTAGTAATACATTATAACATCAACAACAGACCTTAGTTGTTGTAGTGTAGTAATACATTATAACATCAACAACAGACCTTAGTTAAGTGTAGTAATACATTATAACATCAACAACAGACCGTAGTTGTTGTAGTGTAGTAATACATTATAACATCAACAACAGACCTTAGTTGTTGTAGTGTAGTAATACATTATAACATCAACAACAGACCTTAGTTGTTGAAGTGTAGTAATACATTATAACATCAACAACAGACCTTAGTTGTTGAAGTGTAGTAATACATTATAACATCAACAACAGACCTTAGTTGTTGAAGTGTAGTAATACATTATAACATCAACAACAGACCTTAGTTGTTGTAGTGTAGTAATACATTATAACATCAACAACAGACCGTAGTTGTTGTAGTGTAGTAATACATTATAACATCAACAACAGACCTTAGTTGTTGAAGTGTAGTAATACATTATAACATCAACAACAGACCTTAGTTGTTGAAGTGTAGTAATACATTATAACATCAACAACAGACCTTAGTTGTTGAAGTGTAGTAATACATTATAACATCAACAACAGACCTTAGTTGTTGAAGTGTAGTAATACATTATAACATCAACAACAGACCTCAGCTGATGAAGTGTAGTAATACATTATAACATCAACAACAGACCTTAGTTGTTATAGTGTAGTAATACATTATAACATCAACAACAGACCTTAGTTGTTGTAGTGTAGTAATTCATTATAACATCAACATCTGACCTTGAGAGCGTCGTGGTAAACTTGCACTGGCCGGGGCTGGAGGCTGGACGGGTGCAACGGGTGATGTCAACTGAAACGGCTCCATTGTGATAGGTTTGGGAGGCCCGAGGCTCGTCATTGGTGGTGGTGGTGGTGATGATGATGGTGATGATGGTGAAGACAGGGGTGGTGAGGTACGGGTGTGGGGGGTGAAGGAGGAGGTAGTGACAGGTGTGGGGTGAAGGAGGAGGTAGTGAGGTACAGGTGTGGGGTGAAGGAGGAGGTAGTGAGGTACAGGTGTGGGGTGAAGGAGGAGGTAGTGAGGTACAGGTGTGGGGTGAAGGAGGAGGTAGTGAGGTACAGGTGTGGGGTGAAGGACCTATACTCAGATGACAACAGAGTCAAGGGGTGAGTCAGCAACACCAGCACCAACAAGTTCTTTACCTCAAGTCCAGGTTATGGAAGCTGGGATCATTTTCTCTCATAACTCACACCCACAACACACACACCTGGTGATGATAACAAATGATCTTCCCGAATATAAACAACAACTACTAATAAATAACAAAGCCACGTCTCTCTCTGCAACTATGTCATGAGTGAAGGATTTGTTCCACCAAGGGAGCGTTTGAAGGCTAGGATATACAGTACGTGAGGCTGTTAGGTAAGTAAAGTATAATATATGTGTGGAGGGAAACAATGCCGCTTTGATGTGTCTACAGGTCTGTTGTTGATGTTATAATGTATTACTGCGCTTCAACAACTAAGGTCTTTAACTCCCTTTGTTCGAGGGGGGTCTCTGTACTGAATAAATTCGTCTGGCTTTTTAACTGAATACAATATTAATCACGGCATCCAATAGTGAAGGCGTTAGAGGAGATAGTTTACTAAACATATATTCTAGATCAGTAGATACACTAGTTATTAACACTTGCTTGATAGGTAGAATTGGGTCCATCACACGCCAGTTCTCTTCTCATGTCTCGCGTTGTACACAGCTCTGTCTCTCAGGCAGTTAATTGTTGGTGGACTATAGTGTTATTGCCAGTCTTGTTTTATACCCTTAAAGAATTTAGTTATTTAAGCGTAGTAATAATCTTATACAAGTATTTCGTCAATGGATCACCTGAAGCTTAGGCCCTCAAGGTTATTTCACAAGCATTATACTCTCAGTGATGTAGTGGTGTAAGCCAAACGCTGTACTGTACTGTGTATGTTAGTGGCCAAGTGAACACAACCATTTCCTCGTGTGTTAAGGGCCACAGATTCTCGCCCGAGGCACTACAAGTTTACCCAGTTATAAAGGTGATGAATACAGTGTTTTCCGTGTACAGAGACTCAGTGGTGAGCCTCACGGGGCGTCAGGCTAATGTGGCTCATATTTCACCAACAGTGTTTACGAGTAACTCAACATCTTTATTCCCGCAAAAGGTTAAGAATAAATAACTTAACCTAATTGAAGTTTAGTTATGTAATGATAGTGAATGAAGTCTTGACTGACACCTGTGTTACCATGTATGAACTAATTTACATAAAGTTATAACAATAAAACCAAAAAGTTTGCAATAGGCAAAAATGTCCTGTGCGTCTTATAAGGCTTCACCTGACGATTATCCCGTGTGTGTGTGTGTGTGTGTGTGTGTGTGTGTGTGTGTGTGTTGTGTGTGTTGTGTGTGTGTGTGTGTGTGTGTGTGTGTGTGTGTGTGTGTGTGTGTGTGTGTGTGTGTGTGTGTGTGTGTGTGTGTGTGTGTGTGTGTGTGTGTGTGTGTGTGTGTGTGTGTGTGTGTGTGTGTGTGTGTGTGTGTGTGTGTGTGTGTGTGTGTGTGTGTGTGTGTGTGTGTGTGTGTGTGTGTGTGTGTGTGTCTTCTTCACCATCAGAAGTGTAATATGAGGAGACAGGAAGCAGGACTAAGTGGTCACGTACATGAAAACAACCACGATTCCCAGCACAATGTACGTGTGTGTGTGTATATGTTCCAACACACACACACACAAAGAAAGACCACGTGTGTATACTTGTTCCGACTTACACATCCACACACACACAAACACAATTTCACAGCATTTACGGCAAGAAACACAATGGTTTAGTTGTACTTGATTAACAACTCATAATTGTTTGTTCTTCAGTTCGTTGTGTTTGTTGTTTTTGAGGTTGTAAAGCTATGTGTGAGTTGTGTTGTTATGTAGGGTTATAGTTATGTTGTAAGAAGACTCTCCTGTGTTATTCCTTCTCTCACCACCAACATTTACCACCTCTTCCCTCCTTTCCTTCTTCCTTCACTCACTCCAACACACCACCACCACCACTACCTCCACCAGTAACCATCTTCCTCCTTCCCTCCCTCCCTCCCTCCAACACTCACCACTACCACCACCTTCATTACTCACCTAACCATCTCCAACACTCCCTCCTTTCCTCCCTCACGCACCACCACATCCAGCACTCACTCCCCCCCCTCTCTCTCTCTCTCTCTCTCTCTCTCTACACCTCCAACACACACCACCACCATCTCCACCACTCATCTCCCTCTCTCCCTCAGCATGCCGGCCAGTATGATGAACCTATATGAGAACGCTTGTCTACGGTGTGGCCAGACTGTGTACCAGGTGGACCGTATTGGGCCACTCAAAGACTTCAGCTTCTTCCACACTGGCTGCTTCAAGTGCCAGGTCTGCAACTCCAAGCTCACCCTCAAGACCTACTGCAACAACCAGGACGACCAGGTGAGCTGGAGAGAGAGAGAGAGAGAAAGAGAGAGAGAGAGAGAGAGAGAGAGAGAGAGAGAGAGAGAGAGAGAGAGAGAGAGAGAGAGAGCTGAGGTGGCAACGTCTGATCAACAATATCTCACGACCTAACACCCATGACCTGATGTACTGTATCTGGTGTGGGTTAAACCCTGGGTGTAGGGGAGAGGCAGGCCGGGAGGGGGGGGGGGGGGGTCAAGGATCTACTGAAGTATTGGAGGTGAGGAGGAGGAGAGTACCTGTCTCAAGTTCTTTCTTCTCTACCAGTGTTCTCTCCCCCCATCACACACACACATCTGACGCTCTGGGCCACACCACTGACACAGCGAGGTAGGTAGATCGATTGAGAGAGAGAGAGAGAGAGAGAGAGAGAGAGAGAGAGAGAGAGGAGAGAGAGAGAGAGAGATGCCTGGGTGGAAGGATGGATGAATAATCCGGGTATACACACAATATAGAGTACCGTGTGAAACATTATGAGACCACAGATGATAGTTATTGGGACATGTATTTACTTTGGTATATAGTTTAACATAAGTAGTTCAATGTGTATTTATTTCGGCGTAATTAATATGTTGTTCGGTTACCAAATGTAGTAGGATCAGTTTGCCACAGAGCCACGCATACCAACCCTCCCGGGACACCACGAGTTGTTTGTAGCATTTGGGAAGTCATCAGACCCATCCTGGCAGATACCTGGTAGACAGTCAGGTAGTTCAATTAAGGACAGCCACTAAAACCTTCAGTAATCATAATATAAAGTTGTATCAGTCTTTCTTTATCATGTCTCTCTCTCACTCACTCTCTCACTCTCTCACTCTCTCCTCCAACAATATTTGGGAGATATTGGTGAAACTTGGCCCGTGTGTGTGTGTGTGTGTGTGTGTGTGTGTGTGTGTGTGTGTGTAGATCCCACTTTCAGAATTTCTCCGGAAATGGCAGGTGGGTGAGTGGGCAGACGAACAGGTAGATGGGATAAAAGGCAGGCAGAGAGGGTACGAGGGGGTGGGTGGGGTGAGGAGGACGGCAGAGAGAGAGAGAGAGAGAGAGAGAGAGAGAGAAGGTGGGTGAGGAGGCGGCAGAGAGAGAGAGAGAGAGAGAGAGAGAGAGAGAGAGAGAGAGAGAGAGAGAGAGGTGCTTGGGAGACGAGAGAGAGAGAAGGTGGGTGTTTGGGAGGGGCAGATTCTCCACACCTCAGCCTGGACCAATTCCACCCCGAGGCCTCCTTTGGGTCGCCTCACCTCTAGGGCCGCGTCGATGCCAGGCTCTCAACACTCCTCTTTAGTTTCAGTTTTTGATAGAATGAGAGATAGATAGATAGATAGATAGATAGATAGATAGATAGACAGACAGACAGACAGACAGACAGACAGATAGACAGACAGAGAGAGAGCATCACTGTCTCAATCGACCTTGCCGTCCACCTGTGTGTGTGATATTTAAAGGGTTTCTCTAATACTTTATTCATGGCGGGTTTCTCTCTCTGTCTGTCTGCCTGTCTGTCTGTCTGTCTGTCCCGGTCTGTATGTCTGTGTTTTTATTTCTGTGTGTGTATGTCTGTTTCTGTCTGTCTCTGTCTCACTCAAAAGAAACTGTCGTCATTCAAATTAATGTTTATTGTCACGTCCCCCCTCTATCTATCTATCTATCTATCTATCTATCTATCTATCTATCTATCTATCGCAACGTTTCTACCAAATTTCCTTTTCCCAAGCCCAGTCATCCACCCTCATCAACTTTCTATCACAAGATGGATGACAGAGATGGTTGTTAGATGGCGAGATGTTCCCTGTCTTGAAGTTTCTCTTATCTCTCTATCTCGTGTCTCTTGTGTGTCTCTATCTCGTGTCTCTTGTGTGTCTCTATCTCGTGTCTCTTGTGTGTCTCTATCTCCTGTCTAAAATGTCTCTCTCGTTCCTTACTCGCTACTACTACTACTACTACTACTACTACTACTACTACCTGTACTACTACTACTACTACTCCATCCTCCCCTAATAGCCATACCTTCGCCGCCATTTTATTACCTTAAAACTAAATATCCTAATACATAAGTAGCTATCCTAGCTGTGTTGAGCCGTAGATCTATGCCGCATTCAGTGACTGTTGCCTCATAGTCAATATCTGCAACTGTTGTCGGCCTTGGGGCCGATGCTCTCGTTCTCCTGAGGCAGGGCAAAGCCGACCGAAGGAGAGAGAAAGACAGTCGACATCTCATCCAGGCAGTAACATAACTTCTGGGCTGCTGCTTCTGTTCGGCTAGCACCTCCGCGAGTCTGGCGTAGAAGCATCTTGCACTTGGTCCCATTCCACCAGAGGTTGTGAACACTAGAGGAGTGAAGCTGCCTTGATCAACGTTTTGACTTCTCTCCCCGTGTGCCCTTATCTTGTCGTTCTCGTTCCTCCTGTGTGCAGCATCGAGAGCTAAGTTACGATGACATGCGGCCATGGGATAAAAAATCCTGATGTCAAAGAAGGCTCGCTGTCCCCGCGTCCAGAATCCTCGAGCACTGACGTCAACACGGGCTTCGTTGGCTGTGTTTGAAGTCTTATGTTGGAAATTCTCACCGTCCAATGGAAGGAGGGTCGGTTCTACCATGACATCCCGGCAGATTTCCTTCAACATATTTGCTGTGAGGTCCCTTACTTCGTCATGCCTCATGACATATGAAACCCCCTTTCTTGCACACCATGGCGTGATCGACGTCATAGGAAGAGTCACACACACATTGGGAGGGCAAACCTTCTACTGGCCTACCGTACCTTAGAGCAATGGCATCTGTAAATTCTTGTTTGTTAAGGCTGAAACCATTTGCCTTTATCGGTAACGTAGTTAACCAGTTCGAGGCGCCCACCTCCTGCGCTATAGCTACTTTTTTGCTGTCGTAATGGACCTTCAAATCTTGTTTACTTCACTGGTATCCACCTCACCTGTTGCGTTCTGAGCTATTATGTGGTCCGTGAGGGCTGCCGTGAGCTTAACTGAGTTTTCATGTTCGGTGGCAGCAATCTCCTCTGGATTGGTCAATCCCATTCCTCCCAGTCTCGGTGGTAGTTCAAGGAGTGATCTTTCTGCTGGGGTTAAGTGAGGGTGTTTCACTAATTTGGGAATGGAATTGATGCTGATAGCTTCTTCCAAAGGGTGGAGGAGGGGTCCGATATCTGGGATAGCGCGCATCAGGTAGTTCCAGCTATGCCTGACTCCATGGGTGAATGCCGCAAAAGCCGCATGTGGCTCTGTATTAGCAATCACAGACACAGCTTGGATTTCCCTAACCCACTCATTCACCTTTCCCGTTACGTACTGGGTCTTGAAATCTGTCGTGCCGATTACTGCAGCTAGGTATCTTTCGCCATCTTTGTTATTTTGACCTCACTTCCACCGAACACCTCCATTGCCCGTTCATAATGTTCTGGCTTCACAATGAGGAAGGACTTGCCAGCGTTTGGGTGGCACCTTATTTGTGGACCTCGTGATGTTACCAGGTTCCACCACTTTTTGATGTTCTCCACTTTTCCTGCTCCTGTAAGGTCGTCAGCGTACGCCACTTGCTTGATCTCAGTTGTTTCAAATTTTATTGTGTGTTGGAGCACGGATAGGCCTATTGCGTACATTGCCATTGCAACAGGGTCCCCCTTAGAGCCTTGTTGTTTACTATATAGAGGTCTGATGGATTCCTATAGGAGTTTTCAACATACATTGCAAAGCTTGGACACTTGATCTTGATGTTGTGCAGTGTGGCCTTGCGGTTAAGTATGTTGAATGCGTTTGAAGCATCCACCAGGAGAACGGCCACACAATCACACTGCTCAAATATCGTTCTCATGGCGTGAATGGCAGCCTCCCCACCAGCCTGGTGGCCAGCACAAACTTGCAGGATCCCTGCTGCTGCCCTGACATCATCCTTTACCACCTCCATTATGCATTTTCCGATGATCCGCCTCAGCACTTTCCCCACCCTCATAGGCCTACATCCTGGATTCTTATCCAGGGGAATGAGGCGACAGGCCGTCAGAGCATGGAGGTGATAGCAGCACGAGGATGCCAGCTTTCTTGCAAGGACGGCAATGGCCGTGCAGAGATCACTTGCTACGGGCCAAACTTGTTAGTGCTGAGGATGACTCTCCAACCGTTTGCATTCAGACCTGAAGGGCCGGCACCTCCCTGAGTCTTCAGTGCCTTTTACCACACCATCCCTCCTGTTATTTTCTCGAACAGGACAGAGTTTGGTGGGATATATTCACCCTGGAACCTGATGCCTTCGTCTTCACTTGCAGGGGGATTTTTTCTTTCAGTTGTTTTAATGTCTCTCTGTTTATTAGCAGAACACCACCGGAGGATTCTTCCGTGAGAGACCTTACCGCCAAAGACACTTTTCCCACACTCATTTTGTTTCCAAACTTTCTTGCAACGTCATCGGTGTTTTGCTTTCCGTCTCCTATAAATTTTAGTCTCTCCTGCAGTGTTCTTGCTTCACATAGGAGATCATCAAGGGCCCCATTCTGCCACATTGTCAATCTTTTCTTCATTGCTGCCGCATTTTGTTTGTGCTTAGTCTTTGTGTGTGTCCTCTGACAGAATAGATGTGGTATTATTGCCAGTATTTGAAGAGCTAAAGGGGCAAGGAAGCAGTCTTGAGTGTACTCAGTTATGAGGCGAATCATCTCCCGAATCATTTCTTTGGTGGCCGCACACTTGGGTACTACTACTACTAATCAACCAACATCAACACTGTACACAAACATGATAGGTTAGCTATGTGGCGTATAGTTCCTCAGCGCCACGACAGTCTTCTAAAACACCCCAAACATTATACCGTAAACGTTCTAAAACTATTTCAGCTTAGCAGACGTTGTATAATATCATATATTTAAGAAATTTAATGAACTTAAGATGATTATTATATGATCTAAGTTGTAGTAAATGACTGGAGAGTGTGTCAAGGCGTAGAAACACTGAGAGGAGTGTATTTTTCTAGGAC